CCCGCTGCGGAGCAGGAGCGCTTCCCTTTCCCGCCGTTCCCGTTTGCGTCCCGGCCGCAGGCTGCTCCGCGTTCCCTGGGCCGCGGGGCGGTGGTGGAAGCCAGGCAGGCCCGAATCCCAGCTGTGAACCGTCCGCGTGTTGGTCTGATTTGTGTTTTCTGTTTTCCCTCTAGGGAGAAGTTGGGCCGCTGCTTAAGTCTTCTCCCTGAAACTGGAAAATAATTGAAATGGCAGCTGTAAAAACGGCTAAATCTTCTTGTGGCCCTCGTTAGACTGTTTCTGAAATAATGTGCTATGCAGTTTGAGTTTTAGAGTTTGTTAAAATGCCTGAGATAAAAGTCACTCCCTTGGGTAAGTCCAATCTGAAATGGTCCTGAAATAAAAACACTGGAAAACTTCGGAATTTAGAATTTGAAGTAACATGTCTCAGGCTGCTGGAGACGTGTGCCTTTCCGTGCCACAAAAAAAGTCGTGGTGCTGTACTGCAGCATGTGTTCGAGTTGTGCAGCACCTTAAGGTTAATTCTTGTCAGTATGTCATTGTCCTTTTGTCTTTCAAGCATGTAAGAATTGAACAGTCTGATAAGACTATTTTGATTACAGGATTCATTAATACATTCTGGTAAAGGTGTTGTATGTGCAGTATAGATATTCACATAAGTGCTAAAGATCCACGGGAAGCAAATTTTTCTTTTTTTTTTCTTTTTTCTTTTTTTTTTTTTTTAAGAGTTGAGATGCATTTATGTACTGAGAGGGCAGAGTATGTGCTGAGCAGGAGAACTGCTTTATCCCGGGGGATAGTTTTCTGTCTGGGTATGGACTTAACTGGAGTGTAATGGAGGTCTGCTGTGAGGCAGATTATCTGGGGAGGTGCAGAGCCCTGGGAACTTTGAGTTCCGTGCTGATCCTTTCCAGATAAGAGATTATTTTGCTCTTACTTGAAACTGTAGCTGCGATCATACAGTAGCAGGCAGAGAACAAAGTGCCCTGTACCTGAACTGCTTAGGGGTTTGGCTGCAGTGCTGCAGCTGCAGGGGCCTCTCAGAAGCTGAGGGAATGGGGTGAGTCAGTTCACACTTGAATACCCCCAGCAGATCTGCTTGCTTGAAGAAAGGAGGCAGTCTTCCTGCATCAGAAAAGGGCTAGGAAGTTTGTACAGACCTTTAAATGCTTCTCTTCTGAAGTGATTGTAAATATTCCCAGAGATATCTTACTTGTCTTTCTTTGACTTGGGTCCCAGGAGCTGGCCAGGATGTGGGGCGCAGCTGTATCCTCGTGTCTATTGCTGGCAAAAACGTGATGCTCGACTGTGGGATGCACATGGGCTACAATGACGACGTGAGTATGGTGGAGAAGCCTGAGTGTGGTGTAGAGATGCTTTCCAGGTGTAAGGCCTTTCCCAGCAGGGCTCCTGGGTCATTGTTCCACTCTGTTCCCTTTTATCTGAACGCTGCCTGACCCATCTTACGTGGCGTAGGGTGGTGCTAGCTAGGTGTGTGTTACTGGGCGTGGGATCAGCCACTGCTGGAGCTGGGTTATGGCAGAGAACGAACTACTGTTGCCCCTTCAAAATCCTCCTGTGCAAGAGGTGCGTCCCCTCAGATATTCCTGGTGTGTGAAGTGCCACCATCCAGCCATCCTTTCCCTGGGCTATGGACTCTGAAAAAATATTAAGCAAGGTGTGAGTGCGCCATTCCTGGTGGGTTTGGTCTTTCTGTATTTGGGTTTGGGGCAGTTGATTGCTTATGGGATCTGTACCACGCATGTCCCATGCTTTAGAGGGAAAACCAGGAAATAGTCCTGATGTTTGGTCACCTGATACTAGTAGGAAAGGAATAATGGCAAAAATACCCTGTAAGAGAGGAGTTAGTGAGACACAGAGCAAGTGTGCCATTACAGAAAAGTTGGGAGACTTTCTGCTTTAATGCCTGGGGTAAGCTAAAACACATTGGTCACCTGTTTTACTTTGAAGATAAACTTGTCTGCAGTTTATTTATTTGCAAGTTTGCTTTCCCCACCTGCCCTCCGGCAGCCCTCCCATCCCTTTTGACTCTTTCTGCACATAAATGCTGATGGTGTTGCCTGCAGCCCTTACTGCTGACACTAGTGCCTCTGCTGCCTTACTGCACTTCTGCCTGGAGGTGGATTACAGCATTTCCAGGTCATTTGCATCCTTGGTGGTTGGTACTGTAGTAATAACTGCCTTTGTTTCGCCACGGGTCACCTGTTTTCTCCTGTCTTTGCAGAGACGCTTTCCTGACTTCTCCTACATCACTCAGAACGGAAGGCTGACTGACTTTCTAGACTGTGTGATCATCAGGTGAGGAAGCTCCGTCCTTGTCAGAACTCAGGTGGGAGATGGGAAAGCTTTGTATGCTGGCCCTACAACCCAAGGGTGTTGGAAGTTCACCGTTCATATTTTGGCTAGTTTCCTCGACGTCACGCAGTGCTTTAAAGATCTGAAGGAAGATCTGAGAGCCAGGCGAGCTAAATTTCCTGTGCAGCATCTCCTTTATCCTTTGTGTCTTCTTGCAGCCACTTCCATCTGGACCATTGTGGAGCTTTGCCCTATTTCAGTGAAATGGTGGGTTACGATGGGCCCATTTACATGACGCACCCTACCAAGGCCATCTGTCCCATCCTCCTGGAGGACTACAGGAAAATAACTGTAGATAAGAAAGGGGAAACTAACTTCTTCACTTCCCAAATGATCAAAGACTGTATGAAGAAAGTGGTTGCTGTGCACCTTCACCAGACAGTTCAGGTAAATGATCATTTCTCCATACTCCTGGATCGGACCAACTGGGTGGTGGATGTAGAAGGCAGAGCAATTTTAGGTTTTGAAACTAAAATTTTGAAACTCTGGTGTTTGCCCGTTGGTGCAGGTGGACGAGGAGCTGGAGATCAAGGCGTACTACGCCGGCCACGTGCTGGGTGCAGCCATGTTCCAGATTAAGGTTGGATGTGAGTCCGTTGTGTACACTGTGAGTATGGACAACAATATTTATAGCTACCTGCAGCTCCTTTTAACAGCCCGTCCTGTTACTGTGAGAATATTAACAGATTTCTCCTCTTCTGTTAGGGCGATTATAACATGACACCAGACAGACATTTAGGGTGAGTAGGAAGCTGAGTTTTCTATGAACTGTCTGTATTTCTGACAGGAAAATTTTACCACAGCTTCTGTTAATTCTAGGGGCTTATCAGCACTGATTCTTTGTTAGGAAGCTGGAACATTAGACGATGTCTTTGCTGGAAAGATAAATGCAATTTTGAATTATGAGAATGAACAGATTTACACTGATTCTTCCAGATAGATGTTAGTGTAATCTTCTTCTCTATACTCATGTTAATCTGTTCCTAAGGCTACGTAATAATCAGATTTAGATGTTTGAAATGTTTTATTGTCGTGGTATCTTCTAAATGTAGTTACAAACTTTTAATGTTCATTTTAGTTTTACTGGCATATACGAGAGATAAATAATGTTTGTGCTGCTTAGAATAATCTTTTAATGCATTTCAAAATCTGTAGTCTCTATCCTGAGCTGGATTAATTTGAAGAAAGCAGGGCCTGCAAAGGCAGGGCTCCTGCTGCTGCCACAGGACTCCTAGGGGACTTTGAGCAAGCTGATGGACATCTGGGTACCTGCTGTCCTGCCTGCAAGTGGAGACAGTGACATTCTCCTCCCATCTTTTGAGACCTGCAGATCAGAAATGCCAGATACCATCTCTTGATTGAGGTCTTTTAAAATTCATTTTGTTTCAGTGCTGCCTGGATTGATAAGTGTCGTCCAGATTTATTAATAACTGAATCCACCTATGCAACAACTATCAGAGATTCCAAACGCTGCAGAGAAAGAGACTTCTTGAAGAAAGTTCATGAGACTGTAGAAAGAGGAGGGAAGGTACGGTGTTTTGATAATCTAAGTGATGTGGTTTTTCCCTCTTTTGGGGCTCTGTAGTGCTGTGTAACTGTTAATAAATTGGGCACCCATGTATCGCCACTACATGAAACCAAAGGCATTTTTATGTTGCTCCATCTGTACTTTAAAAGCCACAGTATTAAACACTTAAATGGTGCCAGGTGAGGACAGGATTTAGAGTTTCAGTCTTTTCTGTTTCTTAGAGCTTAGCCCCTGTCTTTGCTAATACAAAACTTTTTTTTGGAGATTCTCTTTTCCATTACCACCACAGTTAGAGCACATCTAGGAAGAGACATTATAAAAAGAGACATTTTAATCCCACAGAAAATGGAATTAAAAGCAGAAACATGGAACACAGGAAAGTTTTATTGATTCGGCCATAGCGAAGGATCTGGTCATAGGTTCCTAGGAATTAGTTCATTTAGCTTGATTAAAGGGAACGTTAGCCTGGCTGTTGATTGCACGTGCAGAACTTGAACTACATTTCGGTTAAAAGTCACAGCAGTTTGTCACCTGGGACCTCAAGCCCCGTATTTGATTTGCTGGTCTTGTCTTAGCAGGGCTAAAATGTTGGCTCGCTTCTGGAAAAGAGGGTGAGTCTCTTGGTATTGGGTGTGGTTTGCCAAACAGTGCTGTTAAGCAGCAGGTGATGGCTTTCCGCTGAATCTGGAACCCAAAGGAGTAGCAGTGTTCTCTTTGCTGCCACGTGACGGCACCCGACTGAAGAAAACATTGAAAATCAGAAGAGCTGGGTGTTTTTTCCTCCAGTGTCACCTTAATTTAGGAGGGGATGAAGGTCTTAATTGCCCCAGCAAGGCCAGAAACGCTCATCTTAGGGCCCATTTCCACAAATAATGCCAGAATTGCTGCTCTCAGCAGCTTGTTTTTGTATTACCCGGGAGAGAACAGAAGTGAAGATATTCACAAGCACCGCGGCCTGCTGGAGACCCCCCTCAGCATGTGCAGACTGAGGGCTCAGCCGCGGGGATGC